ATATATATATATATATATATATATATTTATATATATATTTATCTATCTATCTCTCTCGCTCTCTTTCTCTCTCTTCTCTTTCTTGCTGGAACACTATCATCGCCGAAAAAATCTCTTTGGATTACCACCATCGTTAGAGTCACCCCTATCCGTCGGACCACCACCTTCACGCAATCTGTTTGTCCATTCAAAAAAAGATGCCACACACACCCATCCCCATCTCTCAAAACACCACAATCATCTTCAGCAAACTAATTTTCATCAAATCCAATTTTAGGAGGCCTACACTAGATAAAGCCATCACTGCCGAACGAAGTTGCCACCGTCGCCAACCGAGCCACCACCGTCGTAGAAGAGAAAGAAACATATCTGAAAATGAATCGGCCATCTCTCTATTTCTCCATAATAGATCTAAAAAATGGATACATCTAGGGTTCTGGTGGCCTAAAATCCCTAGACAATTGGTGATGACAACACTAAGGTTAGGGTTTTCAAGTTTAGGTTCGACTCTCTCACAGATCTAGAACCTCTAGATAGACTTCATCTGAGAAAGAAATAGAGAGAGGATTATCACAATGATGACTTCGATCCGGAAAACCTAGCCCTCAAACCAGAAAACCCTAGTCAACGTAGGTTATGACAACTTCAACCTTTAGTAGTGAAGATAACTCATTGACGATTTAGATTTTACCAGTGAAGGAAGCTCCGGTGAAGGTGGAGACGAACCAATGGCATGAAGGGTAGTAGTCCAAGGGGCGGTTGCGGACAACAGTGCGTGAATATGGTGATAGCCCGACAGATAGGGGTGGCTTTGGCAGCGGTGGTTCTCCGACGAGATTTTTTCGGCAACGGTGGTGCTCTAGCATAGAGAGAGAGAGAGAGAGGGGGGGGAGAAAGAGAGAGAATGAAATTAGTATATTAAAAGAGAATGGGGTGGTGGGGTAGGTTATTAGGGGTTTTCTGTTTCTTTTTAATTATAAAAAAATTGAAGTAAATAAAAGAAAATGGAAAAGAAAATCAGGAGGGAAAAATAGTATTTTCAAAGTGCATTCAAAATTTCAAGTGATATAATTGTCAAATCATGGGGATTGGGGGGGGGGGGATATACACTAGGGGGAGCATTTGGACTTATGGACCGGACCAGACCAGATCGGACTGAACCGTTTTTTTGGAACCCCGAGTTGGTTCTTGGTTTTACGATTTGAGCAAAACCGGTCTGGTCCAGCTGGTTCCGGGTAAAAATCGGTTTTTGACCGGCTTATTTAAAATAAATGTATTCTGCGAAATTCTTTAAACAAACATATCTCATTTGTTTTAAGTCGGATTGACATGCGGTTTTTTTTAACGTGTAATTTAGAGTTTGTAGATTATTTTAGACTATAATTTTGTTGTTTTTAGTGTTATATTCGATGAGTTACAATCCTGCAAATATGAGATATCAAAGCTGAAATATTTCAGCTTTTCAGCAAGAAATTTAAACTTTGTATTCTGTGAAATTCTTTAAACAAGCATATGTCATTCGTTCTAAGTCAGATTGACATGCGGTTTTTCTAACGTGTAATTTAGAGTTTGTAGATGATTTTAGACTACGATTTTTTTGTTTTGGTATTATGTCGATGAGTTACAATCCTTTAAAGATGAGATATCAAAGCTGAAATATTTCAGCTTTTCAGCAAGAAATTTAAACTTTTGTATTATGTGAAATTCTTTAAACAAGCATATCTCATTCGTTTGAAGTCGGATTGACATGCGGTTTTTTCCAACATGTAATTTAGAGTTTGTAGATAATTTTAAACTATAATTTTGTTGTTTTTTGTGTTATATTCGATTAGTTACAATCCTTTAAAGATGAGATATCAAAGCTGAAATAATTCAGCTTTTCAGCAAGAAATTTAAACTTTTGTATTCTATGAAATTATTTAAACAAACATATCTTATTTGTTTTAAGTCGAATTGACATGCGGTTTTTTTTCCAATATGTAATTTAGAGTTTGTAGATGAGTTTAGACTATAATTTTGTTGTTTTTTGGTATTAAATTCAATGAGTTACAATCCTTCAAACAAATTGTATAAAGTATAAACAATCAAAGTTGACCGGTCCAAAGGCACAAGAAACGGTAACATATTCATTTTTACGAGTTGTACCGTATCAAATCCAAAAAAGTATTCATTTTAGTGAACTGTAATGTATCAAACCCAGCAACATATTCGTTTTAACGATTTCTATCAAACCCCAAAAACACGTTTTAACAAGTTGTATCGTATACATGTAAAGTTGTGCAGGTCCAAACGGGTCCAAGAATCGAAATACTCGGACATGGACCTGGACCCGGTAAGTCTCATCTGGTCCGGTCCACGGTCCACAATATTCTCCGAAACCGGTCCAGTCCAAGAGCCGGTCCGGTCCAAATGCTCATCCGTACACACACTATTCCAATGACGTTTTTCAATTTGTGCTTTTTTTTCACACCTACATTTGTTTTTTTTCTATGTAAACAGACTTAAATACATATATCTGTCATTTATAATCCAAAGTTATTTGATTAGTATGAAATATAATAATTGGTTTGGGGTTTAGATACATGTTGAACCAGAACACATACATAAACACGTATTGTTGATTACGAATATACATCCTACAATCGGTGTTCATTAAAAAATAAATACATTACCAAGGGGTATTTGGCCTAACGGTAAGGAGTGACTCTCTCAAATGAAATGTCATGGGTTCAAGTCTCACTAGGAGACATATGTGGTGTTTACGATTAGATTAGGAGTAAGATAGTTTGTCGTTTCAAAAAAAATACATTGCTTTGAAAGTATTGTTTAACTTTTATTTTTTTTCGGTTTTTTGATTCGTCTTTTGGATGTTTTGGTTGAAGTATTACTTTGAAGGTATTGTTTCACCTTCTTTTAGTTTTTTTATTAGTCTCTTTGAAGTTTTAGTTGAATATGGTTCTCAAATAAGTTTATATATTGCTCTTTAAAAATGATGAAGATGCTATTAATTACCATTTACATGGACTATGGTAGGACAATACTTGTACAAAAATACATTTTATATATGTTATATGTATAATAAAAAAAGAAAATGACTTACCAGGGTAATCATCTTTGTCACTTTGATCACATTTAAGCAACTTCTTTATTTTTGTATACATTTGACCATTTAACTTGTTAATGTGTTCACATGTTACCATTGTCACCTGCTATAGCAGGTGACAATGGTAACATTGGAACACATTAACAAGTTAAATGGTTAAATGTGTACAAAAAAAGAAAGTTCCCTAAATGTGAACAACAAAAAGTTTATTATTCTGATAAGTCATTTACCCCATTTTTAATAGCGATTTTATTTTTCATATTTGTTTGTATTATTTTTTTCAATCGTTATTTTTAAAATATCCATAATTTCCTCAATATTAATTAAATATTGATCAATATTAAACTTTACTCTTTAATTAATAAATATGTTTTTGTTTTGTGAAATATTTTATATAATCTCTTATAATTTTTTTCTTTTTGTTTTTAAACATATACAATATTTTTAAAGTAAATAATATCTAACAACAAAATTAAATAAATTAAATATGTAACAATAAGTATGGAGGGTTTTTTAGAAGAATAAAAAGAAAATATTATTTAGCAAATAAAAAAATAAAAAAAAATCTATATAATGTAAATGTTTTAAAATTATTACAACTTGTTAATACTTTTTAAGTTGAAGTTTATAAACTTTTAATTTTTTTTAATACAACGTTTTAAACTAGTATTTAACGCAAATATTTTAAAATGTTATAAAAAAATATTAAATTGTCATACAAAATCTGTGAAACAATTTTAAAATGTTGTAAAAGGAAGTTTAGAAATAATTGTATGAAAATTATAAAAAAATTGAAAAAGTTAAAAACTTGTAAGAAAAATTGTAAATATTTGGTTTAAAAGCACTTGTATTAAAAATGTATGAAAGTATAAAAAAAGTTTAGAAAAAAAATTATAAGGAAAGTTTCTAACATTGTATTAGAACAAAAAAAATATCATAAAAATGTTGTAATAAATTATAAAAAGTCTTAAAAAATTTGTAAAAATAATATTCACATTTTGATAACTTTATTTGTTTTATACATTTGACCATTTAACAAATTAAATGATCAAATGTGTAAAAAAATGAATTTATATAAACATGAACAAAACAAAAAGATAATTACCATTGCAAGTCATTTTCCAATAAAATTTTTGTAAGGACAACATTTACAAGGATATAAGCCGTACAAATAAGTTGAAATGTGAAGTGTATATCATTTCAATTTTTCCAATAAAAAGGAGAATTTATTTCCCAAAGTAAAACATGCCTCAGTTTTGACCTTAAAATTCAAAATAAAGCCCAAACCCAAACAGTTATTCAGCATAAGAGCAAAATAGCAATGAAGGAACGATTCCCAAAAACCCAAACCTTAAATTTGGGTCATATCATATGCTTCCCTCGTTTTAAAAATAGTCAACGTGTTCATCGATAGTAAAAAAAACCAAGGTTAAAACTTTGAAAGATTCTAATAGTGATATTGTTCTTTACTTGGTTAGCTCCACCTTGAGCATCACACATTCTTTGCCCCTCATCTATCTAATTCCTCTTATACATCCTTAATCAACAACATGGTACCTTTTCTTATATTTCTGTTTCACCTTCCCTCCATTTTCTACTCTTGGTTGAACCATGGTTGAATCCGGTGAATCCAGATCTTTGGAGTACACACCAACATGGATTGTAGCCGTTATTTGCTCCATCATTGTTCTCATCTCCCTACTTGCGGAACGTGGCCTTCATCATCTTGGCAAGGTACAATCTTCTTAGTTTCAACAAAAATCACATAATATGTATACTAAACGAGGTTGTGTGTTTCAATGGTTGCACATATATAGTGGTTAAAGCAAAGAGGTCAAGACGCGCTTTACGAGGCCTTGCAAAAACTTCAAGAAGGTTTATATATTCCCGCCAATATAAAGTTGACTCTAAATAATTATGTTTGTGTTTTTATAACGTTTAGCTTTTATGCAAAACGTTTTTCAGAACTGATGTTATTGGGATTCATATCGTTATTATTGACGGTTTCTCAAAATACGATAAGCAAAATTTGTATACCACCACATCTCGCCAATTACATGCTTCCTTGCAAAAGAAAAGAAGAAACTCCTTCCAAAACCGGACACTTAAACTTTCATTTTGGGAGACATCTTCTAGCCAAAGACATTGGTACACAACATTGTGGAAGTCAGGGAAAGGTGCCATTGGTGTCATTAGAAGGACTCCATCAGCTTCATATCTTTATATTCGTTCTAGCAGTTGTACATGTCATCTTCTGTGCCACTACCATGGCCCTTGGAGTTGCTAAAGTAATGTTATATTCTTTTATTATTATGATTTATTATATATAAGGATATATTTTTTGATCGTATAATATGTGTCGTCTCCTATAGATACAAGAGTGGAAGCATTGGGAGAACTCAATCCACCCCAAAAATGGTGAACTTCCTTTTCATTCAAACTTTCATTTGAATTTTCCTCCTTGAGAAGATAGATGGGTGATACTTTTTAAATTGTAGGTCATGTTCATCTTCATCATCGACAATTCTTCACACAACGTACTATGGGGCATTACAGAAAAAAGCCAGTAATTAGATGGATCGTGAGTCTACATCCTAACAGTTCCAATATCACTGCCAATTAAGTAAGTCTATTCTTGTTGAAAATCATGAATCTATCACTGTTTGTAGGTATCATTTTTCAAGCAATTCTATGGATCAGTGACCAAGTCCGATTACATTGCACTTCGATCAGGATTCATAAGGGTAAAACTTGTCCAACCGTTTTTACTTGTTCCCCGGTTTTGAACCCATCTTCTGATATAATTTGTTTTGGACTAGTAGGAACATTGTCCAGGTAACCCAAATTATAATTTTCACAAATACCTGTTACGAACACTAGAGCTTGATTATAAAAGAATCGTGGGCATAAGGTAAAAACATCATTTGTATAAAATTTTAATAGGCATTTCATGTAAATATATTTAGATCAAAGAAATTTGACATTTTGTTATTGTTCATCTTTTAACATTTTCTGGCAGTTGGTACTTGTGGCTCTTTGTTGTGATATTTTTGCTTCTCAACATTAGTGGTACGTACTCCCTTCGTTACTTCCGCGTGTAGATAAGATATATATAAAAATAATTTGCTAGCTTTTTTTTTCAACACGTAAATATCAATATCCAATCATATATCTTTAATATGAAAAAGCATCAAACATAGATCTGTATCACATTATCATGTTAAAGGCAACATTTGGATCTCATACAATTTAACAAAGCTACTTACTATTGGTTAAAACAGCTAACTTACTTTTTTAGCAACCAATTATTCTTGATGTCTACTTTAGTCTTCATATATAGACCATACAAACTGGGTTTGGTCTAATATTTAAAGGACTGAATGTGAAAAAAATAATAAATAAATAAAGTTAAATGGTCAAATATAGACAAAAAAAAATAATGACAAAATATGTACAAAATAAAAAATTATATTACCATATTAATTCATTATCCCACACTGGAACACATATCAACAATGGTAACTGATCAAATTGGTTTCACGTCAATTAAAAAAAATTGAAAAATCTATTACCAATATCCAATATTAAAACTTTAAGGATAAAATCATAACTAATAAGACTAGGGGTTAGAATGGCTTAGGTTAGGTAATATTCGGGAATTGGTTGAAAATCTCAAAACAATACAACTTGTTTGTCTAAGAGCTTCTAACTTTTAGTTTTTAACAAATAAATCCGAATTAAACAAAAAGTTTCGTTTGGGAGTATACGAGCGTTTAACTTTTAGTTTAAACGAAAAACTTCAAATCTAAAAACTACTTCATGTAGAGTTTAATAAAAACTATAGAATTTTTAAACAATTTCTAAAATTGTCCTTAAAAATATATTTATATATTTATATTTTTTAAACAATTGCATTTTTATTTAATTTTACGCATTTCAACGTAACTCAACATGTTTAATAATTGTGTTCAAATGAGATTGACTTGTATTTTTTTTTTCCAGCTCAACCATCTTAATAAACGAATTGAATTCAAAATAAAAATAAAAACTACACCTAATTAAATATATTAAATATCCAATCATTATTCTAATAAAATTAGACAAACACTTACAAACTTCGGTTATTGTTCTAGTTTTGAAAAACAAAATACAATTAAAAACACAAATCAAATGTCCGAATAAATATAAATTTCTAACTTTAAAAATATTAGTATATAATAAATATAAAATAAATACAAATACTTTTAGAGGGTTGACTAGTTAAATCGGGTTCCAAATATCAACTATAAAACAAAAATTAAATTAACAAGTTAAAATGGGTTAATCATCTAATTAAATTGGCTATAAACATCAATCCAACCCAAACCCGCTTATTATTGTGTTGAATTCGAATTTAGTCACTTTTTTTTCAACTCTAGGACAATTGATGTAACACTTTTTTTTATCAAAATAATACAATATCTTTTATACGGTGATTTATCTCCAACCCTATATCATCTTTTTAACCAAAAAACATATTCTTCATTTTTTTTATTTGTATAAGTTTTCAAAAGAGACCCTTTTTTATAAATTTGTTTTAAATCTATTTTGTTCCAAAAATAAATAAGTTTAATTATGTGTTTAGGATATAATATTTGT